TATCCATATATTGCTCAGTTATAGTCAGAATTCCCTCCCCAAAAAATGCAATTATAAAAGGTTTAGCAAAGCAAAGGCACATCTGCGGTGAAGACGAGCCTGGCAGCTTACATTGTTAATCCTTAGGCGGGATGACTTGCTTGTAGTCATGTTGACTTGTGATACAGTATCAAGGCCACAGAAACAAAGAGAAGGCAAACGGTGGAAGTATGACTGTTGAGGCACAGCAATCATTACAAAGGCCGGCTTTGTTCTCAATTCATAATTCAACTTAAAAACGGATTTATCCCCTCCCTTTATCGGCAAGGTGAGGGAAAGTTCAATACAAAACAATGGATCTGACAAGACACATTTGCACAATAGACAATCTATAATCAATGCCCATTCTTCATCTTCACTCTCTGTCTCCACCCTTACTGACTCTCTTGGGCCGCTGCCATGATCTTGTCTGCCTCTCAGGGAAAGTGAAAAGACAAACATGTCGACCAAAGGGTCTACGGCGGGCTCTCTTGATAAAACTGTCTTTTCTCTCAGCTTTCACTGATACAGTGTCATGCTAGGACACCTGGGAGCCGCCCACCAAAGCAGATGACTACTGTTCGTCATTGAGCTTAATGCTTTAATTAAAGGGGACCTATCACGCAAAATGCACTTTTGTAGGGTCTTTTATACATGAATATATACATTATACATGAATTATGTATCTCTAAAAATGGGGCTGCAACGGAGCTGATACAGACTGATACAGATTTGAAATTGTTCTGACGTCAGAAGCGGGGTGCTCCGCCTATATGGGCAACTCTCCACCTATCAGGGTAATGAGAGGTTGCATGGTAACAGCATGGTAACAGCATGGTAACAGCATGGTAACATGACGCTCGTGCCTCATCCCCCCTCCTTTGCAGGGGGGCGTGGTCAGCTGCAGCTCATTTGCCACAGAATCAGCCCTTGTGAAGACAGGGCTGGAAAAGAGCAAATAGAGCGAAATGAGGCATGGCTAAAATGCATGATCTGTTTTGGTATAACTTCACAGACATGTTTCATATAGGTATGGCCCTACAATATATTATTCAAATATAGCATGATAGGTCCACTTTAAATAATTCGGTTTATCCTCTTTTAAGTCAAGCTATTTGTGACACCCATCTATTGGATAGGACTATATACTGCCAGAAATAGACAGAACTATGACATATAGACAGGATAATACACGTCACATCTAATTAATTCTGTTTACCAATATAGGTGTCCCAATTTGTGAGGATACCGACAGTATTTCTGCTCATATCAAACGGCTATACAGCGTCAAATCAAAAGAACATGCTGTACACAAAGCTTTATACTGCTCTATTTATATCCTATAGCCACTGTCCTGTTTTCTAATGGATTTCTCCCACGATGTGTCTGGCAAACGCAAGACATGTATTTGATTTAGTTGGTTTGACGTCAGCACAGTTAAAAAAACATTGATAACTAGATCAGTGTGTGCCAGAGAGAAGCTTTGAGAAAGCATTGACAAGATACCGAGATAGCAAGCACGTGTTTATTATTCCAGTGGTTTTAAAAGCTTCAAAGTGTCTCAGTAGTCCCTCATGACACGGTTTAGACACTGTTACAATTAATCCAAGTTAAATGGTGCTTAAAGAGATCACTCCTCACTCCAAAAGTAAGGCTTTTAAGGAACATTTAAACCTCAAGGGCACAAGGATGAGGTGAGAAGGAATCTTCCCTTTAAAAATTGAATCGCTTTTGCAGCACAGACTTCTGCTGGCTTGTGTTCAAAGACTCGGAGCTGCTTCAGACTCCAAACAGTCCCCGGAGTCGAACTGCAATATTTTCTTGTGACTCTCTGCCATCTCTTTTCCTTCTCCACTTTATTTGACACTCTTTCCATCTCCCTCTCTTTCCTGACTTACTTTCACTCTCTCTTGATTGTGCTGCGCTGTGGAGAATTGTTGTCATGTTAACACCATTTCAAAAGATGGAGAATAATATGATGCTCACACTCAGAATTTAATTTGCATTTTCCAATATTCTGTTTTTATTTGGGTGGCCTCTGAAAACTCTTCAGAGAGACAATTATGTGTATTTCTGTAGAATTTAAATTGAAAACAAAATTAGATCTTCAAAGACACCATGGCTGAGCAGACTGGCAATCGGAAGAAGCCTCGACACTACACTTTTCATCACGAAACGCTGCTTTATGGCGCATGTGGAGATACATTTATGAAGTAATTATGAGCGATCTAGTTATTTTTAGATGAACAAATGAAGATAAAGAGACGTGAGGACATTTGAGTGGAGCAGATTGCTAAAGGAGTTGCATTTGATTCTGATTGACATTTTTGACAGTGTGTTGACATCTTTCTGCTGCAGGCCTAATGTTGTGGAAATGATATCATAAGTGAAGTGAATTTATGCTAAATGAAATGGCCTGAAAGTTGTTATTATTATATATTCAATTTGTTACGGTGAGTGAAGCAGGCAGGACCCAAATGCAGAAAAAAATTGAAAATACCTTTATTTCAAGGATATGGCACACGGAAAATCAGAACACTCCCCGGTGAACACAGTCACAGACAAACGACGAACCAACACTGAACACAGGGAGATACACAAAACTAGGGCCACCAGGGTGGGTGGAGGGGGTCAGGAGGACGGGTTTGGGCTGACAACCCAGGAGCACAGCGGAGGACCCGTAGGGATCTCGGGCGGACGGCCCGGGGGCAAGGCAGAAGCCGAGAAGGGGGACTCGGGCGGACGACCCGGGGGCAAGGCAGAGTCCAAGGTGGGGGTTATGGAGGGGCGAAGGCCACCGCGGCCGGAAAAGTCAGGGGGCCGAGCATGAGGGCGAGGACCGCGGCCGGAAAAGTCAGGGGGCCGGGCTCGAGGGCGAAGGCCGTGGCCCTCAGGGGGCCGGGCTCGAGGGCGAAGAATGCGGCTCACAGGGGGCCGGGATCGAGGGTGAAGACCGCGACTCTCAGGGGGCTGGGCTCGAGGGCGAAGACCAGACAGCTCCGGAGGCCGGGCAGGAAGGCGCTGACGGGACAGCGCCGAAGGCCGGGCAGGACCCGGTGTCGGCCAGACAGGAACCGGAGCTGGTGGGACAGGCCTCGGCAGGATCCCCCACGGAAGAGGACCAGGACACGGGATTGGTAGGACCCCCGGCAGGAGAGCAGTCGGCGGGACCTCCAACGGGACAGGACATAGGGTTGGCAGGACCCCCGGCAGGAGAGTAGACGGCGGGACCTCCAACGGGACAGGACAAAGGGTTGGCAGGACCCCCGGCAGGAGAGTAGTCGGCGGGGCCTCCAACGAGACAGGACAAGGAGCTGGCAGGACCCCCAGCGGAACCTCCATCGGCACAGGACATAGGGTTGGCAGGACCCCTGGCAGGAGAGTAGTTGGCGGGGCCTCCAACGAGACAGGACAAGGAGCTGGCAGGACCCCCGGCAGGAGAGTAGACGGCGGGACCTCCAACGGGACAGGACAAAGGGTTGGCAGGACCCCCGGCAGGAGAGTAGTCGGCGGGGCCTCCAACGAGACAGGACAAGGAGCTGGCAGGACCCCCGGCAGGAGAGTAGACGGCGGGACCTCCAACGGGACAGGACATGGAGTTGGCAGAACCCCCAGCGGAACCTCCAACGGCACTTCAGTAGGGACTTGAATTGGGACTGGAGAGGAAACTCGAGAGGGGACTCGAGAGGGGACTCGAGAGGGGATTCGAGAGGGAACTCGAGAGGGGATTTGAGAGGTGACTTGAGAGGGAACTCGAGAGGTGACTTGAGAGGGAACTCGAGAGGTGACTTGAGAGGGGACTCAAGAGGTGACTCGAGAGGTGACTTGAGAGGGGACTTGAGAGGAAACTGGAGAGGGGACTCGAGAGGGAACTTGAGATGGGACTAGAGTTGGGATTTGAGATGGGACTAGAGAAGTGACTAAAGGAGGGACTGGAGATGGGACTAGAGATGGGACTAGAGGAGAGACTAGAGGAGAGACTTGAGAAAGGACTTTAGAAAGGACTTGAGAAAGGACTTGAGAAAGGACTTGGGTAGGGACTAGAGAAGGGACTAGAGAAGTGACCTGAGGAGGGACTAGGGAAGGGACTAGAGAAGGGACTAGAGGGGGAACTCGAGAAGAGACTAGAGAGGGGACCAGAGAAGGGACTAGAGAAGGGACTTGAGATGGGACTAGAGTTGGTACCTGAGAAGTGACTAGAGAAGTGACTAGAGGTGGGACTGGAGAAGGGACTAGAGAAGTGACCTGAGGAGGGACTAGAGAAGGGACTTGGGATGGGACTAGGGCAGCTGGGGCCAGAGCTGGGTCTGGAACCATGGCTGCTGGGGCCAGAACTGGGTCTGGATCCATGGCTGCTGGGGCCGGAATTGAAGCCAGAATTATGGCTGTAAGGTTCGGTTCTGGAGCCGGAAACATGGCTGTAAGGTCCGGTTCTGGAGCCGGAAACATGGCTGTATGGGCTGGCTCTGGATACGAAACCATGGCTGCCGGGACCGGTTCTGGAGCAAGGACCATGGCTGCTGGGGCCAGAACTGGGTCTGTAACCATGGCTGCTGGGGGCTGAACTGGTTCTGGAACCATGGCCTTTTGGGCTCGTGCTGCTAACCTGGCCTTGCGACTCCTCTTAGGAGCCGTTTGGAGGCTCCGTGGACCTCCAAAAGCCAGACGAGTACCAGCGAATGGCTCCTGGACTGTAGCAAACACTGGGTGAGAAGCAGGGGCTGACGCCAGACGGACCACACCGATGCGTGTGGTATCAAAAAGGGAATCTGCAGACCTGGGTCTATCAGGATCGGGAAAACAAACCGTGAGGTAATCCAAAAGCCAGGCCGGTAAGAATTTAACCAAATCTTGATTCCTCAGCGTAAGGTGGACTGCATCTGCCAGAGCAGCATCTCGCTGCTGAACCCTGACCGCTCCTATCCATCGATGAGCACATTCAGACAAAGAAAAGGTATAATCCACTAGTTCCTGCTCAAACGGATGTGCTGGGCCCATATCGTGGTTGGTTGGTTCTGTTACGGTGAGTGAAGCAGGCAGGACCCAAATGCAGAAAAAATTGAAAATACCTTTATTTCAAGGATATGGCACACGGACAATCAGAACACTCCCGGTGAACACAGTCACAGACAAACGACGAACCAACACTGAACACAGGGAGATACAAGACTAAATACAGGGAGGGGTAATCACAAGACGAGAAACAGCCGGGCAGGGGAGGAGAAACACAAGGGCCACAGGTGAACACAATCAGACAACTAGACACACCAGGGAAACTAACGACAGGAGGAAAAACACAGGGAAAAGGACCAGACAATATACCAAGAGGAAAACATGACAGGGAGAACAGCAAAACACCCAAAACAAGACATACAAAACGTGACATAACATAATAATCGTAACACAATTATACATTTTCAGTAAGCGTAAAAACCAGTGCACCAGAGGGTTCATTAGGGTTAATCTGGCCCTGGCTTCACATTAAAAGCTTGTGTTCTCTCAACTAAGACAAAGAGACTGAAACCAAAAATTGGGAAAATTCGATATCTTGATTTGACCTATTTTTTCTAAAAAAGGGTATTAGATGCACATGTCAGGTGGTGTCACATGCTCTAGGAGGCGCTGCGGCATGTCAAACGTGTTTCCAATGTAAGTTCACTTTTCATTTGGAAGTTACCCTGGAGTTTATGACTCTATGGGGCAAAGTTTTTTTCATGAGTTTGCCCCCGCTTTGTTTGTATCTGGTACACGAGCACAGGGACGCCCGAGCGCTCATTCCTGCTGGGGTTTAACGCTATTGCACTGAGTGACAGTTGCCACTGGTAACATGTATATAAACAGAAGGAAATGGGCCCACAAAGGCTGTGGAGAACAAGACTGTAAACTAGTAAACATGGATTTCTACAATGCAAAAAAGCATTCTACATGTTTGTGAGGGTTCAAGGACACACACAATTACTTTGACACAGAATATAAACTTTCTTTGCTTACAAGAAATATCCACAGGGTGCCTTTAAATTTAAAGTTAAGCATCATTATCTATAAATGTCCAACACTGCAGTAAAGAACAGGTTGCAGTTTAAGACAAGAAGGCCTGTGAAACGTTTATTTTCATTATTATAAGTAGTTAGTTCTTGTGAGGGTATGAACTTGCACTGATCACTCGCAGAGGAACAGAAGGACTAACTTATTGCGACGTAACAAATGTCTCTTTATATGACGTCATATACTCTTTAATAAACTTTCAGTGTTTTGGCTAATGACGATCCAGCTTCCATTCCTTTCACGAGCATTGGCTCAGCATTGATAACAGAAGTTTTCCTCACAATCACTAGGGGGCTCTCTGGAGGGAGGACATCAAAGGAGGACAATGTGCTAATGTGGAACCGAATGCAGCCGCGGACTGCAGTTGGTGGTTTGAGAGTCAAGGTAAGGAAGTGGGGGTGTAGTCGAGCTTACCAAAAGGAAAGCTGTACACAAGGCACTTAGTATCAAGGGTGTTAAACAAGAGGAAGTGCAATGAAACAGTCTATCATTAAAGTGGCATTAAAGGCAGCTCATAGTTGTACGGAGAACTTGTAATGAGGAAGGGTGACGTGTTTAATCCAGTGACCTTCAATTTGATCCTCAGGAGCCAAACTACTGTTGATTATGCTATCCTACCACCTAATTAATTACAGTTAATTGCATTCAAATTGATTTTCAGATGTGATGTGATTGAATTCCAGCTGAGCTCTGGATGACATGGATTGAGTAGGTTAGGATAAGGCAAAGCAAGCACATGAGTAATATATTGGGGGTTGTAACAGCAGAAACAGACACAGATTGGGGTAATATTGGATATACTAGAAATGACTGCATAAAAGAGGGGAATTCAAAATACTGCAGTGCTTAAAAACCAGAGGGTCAACAGTATCCACAGGGTGTTCTCAAAAACAGAAAGAAATGTGGCAAAATCTGTCTTCTTAAATAAGCATTAACAGTCAGAACAATCTAAATCCTTGGGTTTAAAATCAAAATACATACATGTTTTTCATCTCAAAGTGGTTCTTCAGTGCATTTTTTCCATCTCTTTCACCCCAGGGACCAGTTTGTCTTCCAAGTCAGGACAGATGCTTTCATAAAGACACCATTTCTGCCGTCAAAACGCACTCCTGGCGATTTTACTTTTGTGGTGTCTTTCATTGCTTTATCTGTGTGGTGACTTGCTTTTAGATGCCCTGAATTACAGCAGACATTTCTAGTTTTGTGAATCATCAAAACTAATTTGACAGGAATACACATCCAATCAAATAAATAATTCTCAGACAAATTGAGAACATCAACACCCTTTTAGGCATGATTAGTTTACCTATGAAGGTGTGGATGCATTTTTTATGATTCAGTTGCTCGATGAAGGAAACGTGAGGAGAAAGTAGGAATTAAAGCTGTTGGTAATAACAGTGGTGGTGTTGCTTATCAGAGCCTGAGAGTGAGAGCTGTGAAATCGATTTTCTCATTAATAGAAACCCTGCTATGGCACAGCGGGCTAGCTGATGCTCACCTGACCCTCAGATCATGAACTGGAGAATTGAATGGGGATTACACACAACACCATCCATCACTAATTACTTTCAACAAGTTCAGGCTTAGATGTAGGGGAGGGAGGATAGATGAAGATGGAGGATTAGCAGTTTCAATATGTGTTCACCAGATCAATTATTTGTCTTAGTCTATGGTAAACCTTATGTTCAATTCAGTCATTTAAATGCCATGCTAGTAGCTTGCAACTCCTTTCAACGGTGTCCCCACTTTTTCCCCCCCAGGAGCTCCAACAAGCCGTTTAGGGCAGAGAGTGAATACACATACTATACAGAGATGCTGTATGAGAAACCAATGTGAGTTTGGAACATTGAACAATGTAAATCTATTCTAGTAGACCTCAACAATGGAATTATGATCAGTAGAAATGGCCATGACATGGGAACATTAATGCTTGTTAGCAATGTTAGTGTCATGACCGAAAGAACGAGATCGCGGATACAAGCGGCCGAGATGGGTTTTCTCCGCAGGGTGGCTGGTGTCTCCCTTAGGGATAAGGTGAGAAGTTCGGTCATCCGGGAGGGACTCGGAGTTGAGCCGCTCCTCCTTCACGTCAAAAGGAGCCAGTTGAGGTGGTTCGGGCACCTAGTAAGGATGCCACCTGGGCGCCTCCCTAGGGAGGTGTTCCAGGCACGTCCAGCTGGGAAGAGACCAAGGGGTAGACCTAGGACCAGGTGGAGGGATTATATCTCTTCGCTGGCCTGGGAGCGCCTTGGGATCCCCCAGTCAGAGCTGGTTGATGTGGCCAGGGAAAAGAAAGTTTGGGGCTCTCTGCTGGAACTGCTACCCCCGCGACCCGACCACGGATAAGCGGGAGAAGATGGATGGATGGAAATGTTAGCATGCACATACAGTACAACAAACTAATATGGTAGACCTTGTTAGCATGCAGCTCAAAGGATGTTGCCAGCCTCACATAGCTAGCATGGCTGTAGATATGTTTTTTATCTTCAAAAATATAATTTTGTGGGTTTTTTTCTGTGAATAAAATATCCTTATCTGACCTCGGTTGTTTTGGAAGTAAACACTAGACCATGAGAATCTTCTGTTTTCTACAATCAATGTCATTTGACTCACTTCATCCCTTTTCACGGGCTCGTGACAAAACATGCAGGGAGACAATTATACCCAGATTAGACAAACCCTTATTTTGGTCCCTTTTTTATAAACATTATTTTAGCGTATAAATTCAATTTCTATGTGCTGTATTTTTGCCAGCATAAAAAGGTAGAATAATTGCCAATATGTTATAATAATTCTGAGACCGACAATCATTTCTTATTATATCTCCAAAATGGTGTTATTATTGTCAGCCAGGAGCTATCCAATATCCTTCAAAACTAATATAATTTGCTTCCTTTGCACTCATCTTCTGAGGAAATGGTTTGTTGGAAGGGATATTTGACACTGGAAGTAAAGTGGGAATTCATTGTAAGGTAATATTCACAGACTACAAAATGTGCGACAACTGTAGCTGGCGGGTTACATTGCCTCACGTGTTTTTATACATCTTAATTAAGATTCACAGCCTTTCAGCTTTGGAGTAATGTGTTTGCTGTGAGCACGAAGCACAGCTGACAGTCACTGAGATAATTGCACCAATGATCCAATTGTCCTGCTGCATATTAGTGTTGAGTGCTGATAGACTTACATATAAAGCTAATTTGCTTCAACAGACTCCCTGTGGGCTTCCCTCCCATTTGACACTCCTGTGTGTAAGTGTGTGTGTGTGTGTGTGTGTGTGTGTGTGTGTGTGTGTGTGTGTGTGTGTGTGTGTGTGTGTAAGGATATGCAGACACTATGTCTCCTCATACTTGTGTCTGTGATTGATGCATGCCGTAGTGAATTATAACTAAGTACATATGCACTCAAGTACTTGACAAAGTTCAGAAAGTAGGTCCCTTGATAACAGCAGAATCCTAAGGGGGGGATCTGGGTTAGACAGAGTAGTAAACAAGCTCTGCCTCAGACCCCTGAGCTGCACCAGTGGAGCTGCTCTGTGCAACACTGTGGTTAAACTGGGCAGTACCCAGAGGGGGAGGGGGCTATCTTTGTCCTTCCCTCTCCCTGCAACTGCACGCCAAAGCTGTTGTAGCAAATACATTTTCCCAGTCATGTGTCCTGACTCAAATGAAGATTACATGTATCTAATAGGGATTATGTGCCGCGGTAATGACCTGCACAGACAGCTCATAGATTATCGAGCATATGGTACATATTTGTATTCGGTGCGTATTCAGCGGGTTGCATGGCAGTATTGACTAACAAGGGAAATCTTTGCTTAACCTAGAGGAAGATTTTCTCAACCTGGAACACATTTATTGCAAGAAAGCTCACACTGGCATGCAGAAATGTAAATCTACTCAATATATTCATGTCCACGTGGACCTCCAAGCGCAGGGTCAACCCCGGCACGGCACCCGCGGGTTAAATG